AATTGCACCCTTCTTATGCTGAGACAATAAAGGGTCACCACTGGACAGTGGTTTTTAAAAACAGTTTTAAATTTTCTTTAAATGCTCTCTGCTGCTTACAGCAGTCTGTTAAACCTCTGAAAATAACATTTCATCCCTTACTGGGTTTGCCCTTTTCCATTTGGAAACCACTGATTTTTTTTCTCACTTGAGCCAAGATTAATGTGGCTTTTTTTCCTTTGATAACAAACTCAACATATCCAGCACCTGTCCAGCCAAAATAACAGTATCTGTGGATCTGTACCACTGACTGGTGTTGACCATACTCTGGGAATTAGGCCAGCTAGATGCCAGGTACTAGAGAACCTGCAATGATATATATAAGACATCTCAGTCTTTTTGTAGGCTCTATAAAAACAACAATAGGAATTGTTTGGTCTTAAAAAGAGTCCATGGTGAAAGGGCTGACAGTTTAGTTTAGCTTTTAGAATACAAAGGACTTCATCCAACAGATCAAAATGATTTTGGTCTGGGCCACTTGTGGAGTTTGTACAAACTTGGACTGGCCCCCTCTGTATCTGCTACGGATTGTCCCTTTTGTTAACAATAGGGAAGGAAAAACAAAAGAAATAGAGAATAAAAATAGGAATAAGAAAAACAATATGGATACCATATTCTCCTCAGCTAGGCTTTGACAGCAGGTCTTGTGGGGACAGAAAGTTAAGACTGACTTCAGACACTACTTGCATTCTCTCTACATTGTTACCTAATTTCAACGTGTCCCCCCGCTCCCCCTTCTCCAACCCATACAGATATCCCCCACCACATCCCCTCCTTCCCAGTTTCTTTCCTCCCTGCCCTTGCCCCCAGGAAAAGCCAATAATACCTACAAATATTTTTTATTTTCATAAACGTCATGCAGCTTTAAAACGTGAGGATGTTCTATCAACTTCAGGATGGCTATTTCCCGCTCCACCTGGAAAAAAAGAGAGAAATAAGGACGGTTAAAAGCCATGCCTCAGTTTGCATTAGACATCATCACATATTCTACCTCTCTGATCTCCTTTATGTACAATGGAGCAAACAGGACAGAAGCAGTTTTAAGACTTAAAAATACTTAGCATTATACAGGACTGTGCCATATATTAAGTAATTCATCCTCAGAATCCCCTTCCCTATAAAGGCAGGTAAATGATAATATTGTCCTGCTATCACAGAGAGGTAGAGGGATAAGTGTTCAGTCTAACGGAGGGAATAAATCATAGAATGTATCTGATCACAGCCAGATGCTCACATAATGCCTCTCAAACTATAGAAGGTCAAAACCATAATCTAGACTCCCACTGATTTCAGGAGGCATTGGTCTTACTATGTTTGACACAGTACATTCACAGCGTAAGAGAGTTTGTGCCCCAAAGAGTTTATAATCTAACCAGGCAGGAAAATGGGTAGGAGACAGGAGCTATTATTGGTTTACACATGCTAAATGGAGACACAGACAGAGTAAGGGACACACACAACACATAAAAGTTCAATAACAGAGCCAGGAATTGAACCCAGCTTTCTGGAGACCCAGTCTTATTCTGGGTTAAAAAATTCAAGACCCAGACTATCCTTCCTCTCAAACCTTGTCCAAAATATGGTTACTTGTAAGGGCTTATCTTCAAAGCAGAGTTAACCTGAATTATAACTTGGGTGTTGCTCTTGACCTGAATCCTAGCTGCACACAAGAACCTTAACTCCAGAATGGCAGTGCGTTTAATTCAAGTTCCCTGGCCTGTCAGGCTATAGCTGGAATTAGTGAAACTCTTCACACTCTAATATAGTATCTTTGCACCTTGAGTGCTGTTTTGCAATGCAGCCTCTTTCACGTGATCTAAGCAAACAAAAGAAAAGTTAATATAAACCGCTGGTGAGTGCAGTTGATTGGCAGTAACTATGCAGTGAAAACACAGCCCCAAGCTCTGCAAACTCAGGTAGATAGGTCCCAGATCAGTTTACAGAAGTCCAACAAGGCAGGATTACCCCCTCATCCCAGAGCAGCAAGGAGAGGAGTTCACTTGAACGTTCCCCTCAGCTCCAAATAATTGCCTACCTTCTAGCTATCATCCTTGCAATCACAACATTAGCACACTGCAATGCCAAGTCAGAGCCTAAACCCACTAGTAAGTAGGCAGTCCTTCAGGAGCTTTTTCCAGTACAGCTTTATTTCTTGGTGTTCTTTAATTTGCAGAGGTACTTTCCTCTACCAGACCTACAGCATAGAATAACTGCCTCGAAAAGACTGTCTCCCAGAACACTCACTGCCACAGGAAGGGCCTCAGGTCTTCTTGCTCAGTGAGTGAAACCAGTGAAAGCTGCTTTAACCTCATAAATACCTTTGGCCTTCCTCTTCCACTCAGGTTGGAAGAAAGGGTGTACAGCTACACAGTTTTGTTCTTATTCTTTCAAGTTGCTATTGTCAATGTTTTATTTTTTCAAGTGGTTTGCTCTTTTCAGACTGAGAAGCAATCTCACGGATTTACTTTCCCACCTGTTGTCTCAGGAGGTATTGATTTCATAGCTGGGTTGGGGGGAATGCATCAGGAGGTGGGACAGGTAGATGGAGAAGGTGTGGTGAAATCAGTGGCATTCTACTAGAAGGACTGTGCGTATAAGCATACACCTACAGGTTTCCCTCGCTTTATGATGTACATGCATTCCCGGAAAATGGCGCATAACTCGAATTCCCATAAGGGGAACCCACTTTACAATGTAACAAATAGGGATACGTTCCAAGACCTTGACTGTACTGACCCCCAGACCCATTTCTATCGCTTTTACAAGAAAATGTTGGTACACACAAGCACAGGGTGGTGGTGAATGTTACCATAACGGGGATGGCAACTACAGACACACGTGTTGCAGACAACAAGCGAGGAGCACAGATCCGCACAGGAGATTATATTTGGTGCGCGTCACTCCTACAATGTACTGCACAAAGCAGCTGACTTCGGGCTTCCAGCACACTGATTGCATAAGAGTGAATTTACCTTGCATATAACGAATTTTTGGTATAAAAAGGGTCATCGCATAAGAGTGAATTCACACATACAGAACCCGCATAAAGCGAGGGAAACCTGTACTGCTGTAATTCCCATAGGAGTCTCCTATGAATGAGACATGCATTGCCTGATGGTGATAACTGTGAAGGCAACATCTACCTATCACCATCACTAAATAGGGCGCAATTCATGCAGCCAGAAATCAGCACTGTGCGGCTTTCGTCTTTCCAATGGCTCCATAAAAATGGGATTTACTGCACCTCACCATGCTGCCCCTTTCCCTCAAAAGACCCCACTGTCCTTTATCTCACAAGAGAGTTGGCAGTATTCGAAGGGTTCTGATCAAGTGCTTGCCCTGACAAGGTTGTGTTTGCTGCATAGGAACAAAATAATAATAATTAAAAAAAAAAACTTGAGACTCATTCGTATTCAGGAAAATTTCCCTGGAATCAATTCCCCTTTCTGTCTCTCAGCCAGCACCTTGGAGAAAGGAACTGCCCAAGTGCAGTGCAGCTTGCCAAAATGATAGTGACGGGCCACTATTGGGATGCAAAACTCTTCTAATGCTCTGTGGCAGCTCAGCCTATTTGCATTCATTCCCCCACTCTCCAAGGTCAGGTCCGACTGGGGAGGGAAGGGAAGACTGGGTGGGGGCTGTTATGCCTTGGTCAGTAACCAAACTGCTAGGCTATATGATGACTGACTGATGAACTTAAGCATATGTCCATTTGTCCATGAGAGTCCATCACTAATGTCACAAATTATTCCCTATTCTGTATTTTAGTTAGGGATATGGGCAGAGCAAGCATGGGATTTTTCTCTTGGTGGACACCCTTGAATCACTATGGTATATGAATAGGAATAGTCCTGACCAATCACATAGCAAGCATGTGTCCTGACTCTTTTGCCATGGCGGGATGGGGGTCAGAATACCACTGATGTAAAATACATCTGTCAGGTGCCAGGGCTCTCCCACAGGGCAGCCTTGTGTCCATTTGCTTGAATGATGAAGGCATTTGTCTGCACTACTGAAGTGAGAGGGTTCAGAATTGGGATCTGGCACAAACTCATGTTTAATGATAAATGGAGAGAATGGGGGCCAAAGGCATCCAAACATGTGTACTTAGCTGGCCAGAAGGGAGACAGTCATGCAGAAGAAAGAAGCGTCACAACCTGATGCAGCATTAAAGAAAGGAGAGGGGAAGGAAAGCTCAGTCGCATGAGATCTGTGACATCTCATATACCTTCAGAAGACTAAGCCAAATCATGGGACAATCTTTAGGATGAAAATAACTGTGCCACAGACTCGCCAAGTCATGCAGAGCTCGCAGCCAGGTGCTGTGCACACAAACTCAGCCTGAGTTTTCAGTGTATTCTGACCTCAGACCCCAGCACTGGGGGAATGAGCTCACCTAACCTTTTTGGTGTAAGCCTATACCCCAAATGCCAGCACCTCATGTACCAGCATAATAACCTTTCAGTACATGCATTTC